AGTGTTGAGTGAGTAGCCCCTGATACGCCAAAGTATAAGTTTGTATTTTCTTTTTATCTTGCTATCTGCCTCATTTAAATATCTCGAATTGTAATAATAAACAAGTAAACTGTTGTTTCATCGTTTTTGTTGTGTATAAAATCTCCACTTACTCAAATAAAGTGTTTACATTATAATCTTCAACTTAAGTTTTTTTAAGAATTTAAATTTAAACTTTTGCTATATATTTTCAATTCTTTCATTAAATGAACATTTAAACTGTGCCTAAACCATCATTCAGTCTCCATAACTACACAAAATACTCTAGAGGCAATTATCACAGATATAACTGATCAATCAGAGTGGATGACCACCACACCCACAGCCACCATAGACTGATAGCTAGTGCCAAAGGCATGTGTGTGTGTGTGTGTGTGGGGGGGGGGGGGGTGAAAGAGACATATCTCTTTTATGTTAGGCTCTCTTGCTTTCTAAATCATCATCTTTGAAGTCAATATCAAACAAACTACATAAGATAGAGCAGACAAGTGATCAGCATCACTCTGATTTTGGATTCTCAACACAACTGACCACTGACCACCACTACTACTATTACTACTATGAAGGGAGATACTAAGAGGAGGAAAAATCATTTTCAACCTGGAAATATTCCCAAGAATAAGGGCCAGACACTTATGCCTGTAGAAGATCAAGCTGGACACCCAAATGACCAGGCTGTATTTACCAGAAGGCTAAATGCAGAGAAGTTCAAGCTGGTGACCAAACTTAGTCATGATGGTCGATCACTTATAGCCTCAAACACTGAAGACAGACTCTGTTCAGCTCGGATACTTCGTCCATCAACAGTTCCTCATGAAGACTCAGACTCTGAACCGGACAATATCGAGGGAAACAGAATTATTGAAATGCTCTTAATGGTAAAGATGTGGAATTCTGTATTCAGACTCCATGCAGAAAAACACTACAAGCCATGCAAAATTCCAGAATTTGAACTTGACACCGAGAGGAAATGGGCCCTGGGATGGAGTTGTTCTGTGCTAAGTGCAGCTACCGGTCTCCACTGCACAAGCTCTACAGAGAAGCGGACACAAATAAGCCCGGACCAAAGCCAGCACTTGTGAACAGGTACCTACCATCAGCTCTGTGTGGCCAGTCTGTCATCACCGAAGGAGCCAGACTGCTTCTCGAACACATCAACATACCTACCGGAGCAAACAGTGGTATGCTGCAGCGACAAGCTAACCTGGTGTCCAAGGAGATAACATTACTCAACAAAAAAAACATGGCCGAGAAGACCAGGCAGGTAGTGGAGGTTAACCACCTGAGAGGGGATGCTAATACGAGCACCATCGGAATAGCACTTGATGGGCGGTATAACAGCACATCATTTGGGAGTGCTAACAAACCTGGCATGAATGCCTCACAGTGAATGAGTCTGGGCATTGAGACATCAACTCCTAAGAAGTGGATATTAGCACGCACACTTCAGAACAAGCTGTGCTGGACTGGTGCTTGGCTGAGGGGAAAAGGCTATGATGTCAACTGTCCTGGAGGTCACACTGACAGCACAGCCAACACTGACCGATACGACGGCCTGTCAGAGCATGCCATGGGAAAAACATTGGAGACCAGCTGACCAGTCAAGGTATTTTGGTCAAGTACGCCACGACTGACGGGGACGGTACTGGAGCCAAGGCATTGAGGAGGCCATGCAAGCCCTAGATCCCATGTGGAAGGTGGAGAGACTGGCCGACCCAACACATTTAGGCAAGGCACAGTTCCGGAAGTCTAACAGTGCCAAGTTCAGTGAGTCCATGTTTCCTGGCCGAACCAGACTGATGAGAGCACATTCCCAGAAAATATTTTCTCAGGACCTGAAAGCCTGGAGCAGTCTGATCTCTAAGGACCTGATGAAATTACACAATGGAAACATGGACATTATTACAAAACGTTTACCCGCTGTGCTTGATGCGACTGTTTCGTGCTACTCCAGTGACTGCTCTAAATGCAAACAGCATTCTGTCGTGTGCTCTGGGGGTGACAGTAACAACTGGTAGACACGCTCAATGTTCCTGAGTGCCAACAAAACTCATGGCCTGCAGATGACATTAGATGATGAGATGTTAGTGCTGGAACTACTAAAGATGAAACTCAGCACCAAGACAGTCCAATCAATGCGACTAAACACATCTACCCAAAAGAATGAGGAATGACAGTCTATGAGCGTGTTTTTATTCCATTTCAAATCCCTGGGATCTCGGAAAATAATCAGTCCATATTTTCCATTCTTTGTTAATGGTCCCTGCCAGATTCTACATATTCCATTTTCTGCACTGATAACTGAATTTTCTAATATTCTGGATTGATACAATTCGAAGAATTCCTCCATTTTCACTTTTAAAAATCAAGTGTAGGAATAGTATAGTAGAGGGCCTAGTATCGATCACCTGTTTCTTTTGTTACATGCAACTGACATATAGGTAACTTAAGACCAGATTTGGTAACTAGAACACAAGACATTTTAACATCTCTAAAACGGTTCTGAAGATATTGTTGTTTGAAACTTGAAATTTTATTTTTAAAGCTCTTAACCCACGTTATATCATAATGCATATTTAGATACTATGTACCTGTAATTTGATTGATGTTTAAAACGAGAATATCGGTAATGTGTTGTCTTAAAACAAGAACATATTCGTATTTCAAATGGTTTGACCAGAGTTGTGTGTTCATGAAATAGGGAGAAACCTTGTCATCTGTGGTAGCTTTCTGTAAATCTTCGATAAAAACTGTATAGACCTGCAATAACATTCTCCAGTGCATTGTGTGGATTTAGCCTTGAAATCTAAATGTAGACCTGGTTTAAACAGGAATCTGGTTCCATGCTGCTGTATGAGAAGCGCAGTCTAATAAGCACCAATCGTGGGTTTTTCAAACATCAATCAAATTACAGGTACATAGTATCTAAATATGCATTATGATATAACAAGAGGCCCATAGGCCTTAACGGTCACCTGAGTCCTACAGTATTCTGCTGTTGTTGTTGAAATAATGATGTCAAAGGAGAATAGTACATTATTTGTCAAACAAAAAATGTATTTCACCAGTGCGAGGTCCATCAGTCAATTATCACTACCAAGTTTAAGTAAAACTAGAAAAATGTGTAACACATGAATGCCCTTTGCCACAGAAAATGTATCTCACTGTTTGACAATTTTCTATAAATAGTAATGGTGACCTTGACCTTGTGAATAGTTTTTTTAAATGGGAGCTGTGGCGGCCATATTGTGAATTTCTGATCGACCCGAAAAATAACAATACTTGGTCAGGACCATGAGTCGTCCATTCCTAAAAGGTTTCAGTTAAATCGGCCCATTAGAACTTGACTTTAAGCTAAAGCTTGGGTGACCTTGAAGTGCAGAGGTGAACAACTTATAATAAAAGGTAGGACATAGATTATATCACCAGCTGTGTGTGTCATATAGTTTTGTGAGATTAAGTGGTGGCTTTGTGAGAGTCTTCTATGTGTTGTGTGTGAGTGCGTTGATACACATTAAAATAAAGACGGTTTGCTGTCCTATGTTACATTCCTTTCAACATTCAACTACTTTACAAAAGAGATTTCCACAGATATAATTTTCTAGTCGATCAATTCTAATATCTCCACACATGCAAACACACTGAGGTAATACATTAAAATATAATAGCAACAACTTGAACAATGCCACATTATAATTTTGCAGAATCAAGCTGAAAACATTTCCACTCTTAAAAATTTCCAAATCCAGGTATTCAATGTTAACCTTTCCCCTGGTCAGCTTGTCTTGTAAAATTCCAGTCTGTATAGTTAATACCATAGAAAACACTGATGATTTTAATATTCGATTTCTTTATTTTTAAATGAACAATCTTTACAGCACATTTCTTGTTTAAAACATGAAGGAATGTTAAACATCCTTGTTAGGAAGTGTAGTAATACAGTAAATATTGATCTTAGTCAGAGAAAACATCTCTTGGATAAAGGAACATACTTTCAATTTCATGCTAAAACGTAGGATTCCTTGCTTGGAAAAGAAAATTTAGCATAACTATGACAGTCACATATTTTATGACTTGAGAATCAAGAGCTTTTTTTGTACAAAACTACGTAAAAATTGTGAAAACCGTTTCCCTCAGAAATTACTCAAATTGTCAAATAATCTTTTTATTCACTGTAGAAATTACTGAAATTGTGACAACTTCTTCTTTATGTTGTTCACAGAAATTCAGATTTAGAACCTTCAATACATAAAGGGATGTGTTCTCGGATCCAAATTTTGCACCAATTGTTTAAATTAATCAAGTGTGTTTCAGTACTTTGACAAATAATGATTAATTCATCAAATAATGATTAATTCATCTATTCCATTCCATTAGTGTGCTGATCTAGGATCTCTGTGCTCCTGTCACTATCATTCTGCTGCTAATCTTTTAATTCCATGCCCGTCATCAAATCGAGCTACGAAACGCTACACACAAAAGTACAGAGTTCATGACTGTAATTACAAAAACACTATTCTCAATGATAAATTGTCCCCTATTAGATTTGTGGGGTTACATCAGCTACCCGTGTGAAGCCTCGACAGTAACCGTTTGGTCCGCCGAATTAATGCCTCCACAAAGCCTTAGTGTGACCGATTTTTACAGAAGCTCTGAAAAAAGATACAATTTGCATGAGTTATACTCATTTAAACAGAACAATAAAATAATTGAAAATATTTTCAAATGTTAAACATCAAGAAAAAAGATTTCACTGACTGCGGTCAACCATTTAAATGACTTCAACATTCTCCAATGCCATGAAATAAGGTGCAAATCTTCCTCCAAAACAACGTTGATACAAATTTAAACAATAACTTGAGTGAATGATCTTACCTGATTTATTTTTGACAGTTTTTTGAGAAGAGACTCTGTGATAGCCGATACTGCTGTTTGTTTCAGTGTAGCTAGCTCCTCCCTTGTCACGCCCGTGTCAGCTTGTCTCCCTCCGAGAACGTTGCCCCCTCATCTGTGTCATACATCATGCTGCCGCTACCTGTCAGGTCTGCATCAGAAATAAATGTTACAACTGTGTGTGCAGAGTACTTGGTATGTGAGTTTAGTTATTTCACTGGTTTTCTATTTTTAGGATTTTTGATATTGGATCTATCATGTTAGGTCATTACTTCAAGTTGGAAGGATTTTTGTGCCACTAGTTACCAGACATAGAATAAGAATCACTCTTCACACTAGTATTCAAAATATAGCTTCTGCAAAGACTAGGACTATATGTCACGCCATCTTCACAATATCATTGAGTTGTAACAGCATTCAAATCATAATCCGTCTAGGTGAACAATGACGTACCTTGTAGTCGTCGCATCTGCTGCTGGCGTTTCACCTGTGACTGATAAAGAGTGGGCTGTTGGTCTATAGGTACGCAGTGTAACAGGTAATATTCCAGGTGGCGCCACAATATAAATATACAGTTCTCTATAATATCTGTACACTCGATTAAGGAAAATCAGATCACTGTCAGTAATAGCTTTATCAAAATGAGACGTGAGAGCTCTAGATATTGAGATAAAAAAAATACATGTCAGTCATCCATCAACAGGTACCTACATCTGGTCACATGCTACCACTCTTGTCTATTTATAATGTCTATCACAAAATACAGATATATCCTAGCTTGTTTACAGATGTCAGTCACTGAATACACCAACATGACAAACCAGGCAAACCCAGAGAAAGCTTTGACAGAAGCAAGAAACCCAGGCAAATATTATGACTCTAACACAATAAAACCCCACATATAAGGCTCTTACAGTCACCGCCAACCCCAACAGACACAACAAACCCGAAAAAAGATGCGAGAAAAACTGAAACATCACAAACTCTGACAGACACCACAAACTATGAATGATCCGACAGACCTGATCTATTTGTCCAGACAGATCTGACAAACCTTGACAAAGCTGACAAACCCTGACGGCTATGACAAGGATACATGCAAGGTGTTTGAGTTCACCCCCTTTATAGTGGACGATCTGTGCCAGGCGTCGATGTGCCAGGTGCTGTCTCTGCTGCGACGGCATCTTCTCCCCGGCAGGAACGCCTGAAAACTATAAAGGTACACTACTACAATAAAGTTCTGCTTTATCAAATCAAATTTGCAAATTTGTTTTGTGATTTACTAACTGAACGGAGCATTCAAATGATGTTATCAGAATTTATAGTTTGTTTGATGTACTACATTGTCACATATAGATAGGATGCTATATCAAATGATGCGTCATGATAAAAAGCATTCCACTAGGGTGTAATAAACAGAGCCAGAGTATCTATCAGGTGTCGAAGGTGCTTACTGTAAGAGCATAATATGAGTCCTACAGTATTAATGTTTGTTGTTGAAATATGAAGTGGAGATAATGATGTCAATCATCCCTACCAAAATTTGAGTAAAAAAAGTTAAGTGTAACTTAACGTTAAGTTTGCCAGGACCATGAGTTGATCATTCCAACCAAATTTCAGTTAAATCGGCCAAGAAGAACTTTTACTTTAAGTTTGAAATAGTTTTTCAGAATGTTGGCCATATTGGATTTCTGATCGACCCAAAATATAACAACACTTTGTCAGGACCATGAGTTGATCATTCCTACCAAGTTTCAGTTAGATTGGCCCAGTAGAACTTGACACTAAGTTTGAAATAGTTTTTTAAAATGGCCAGCCCTAGAGGCCATATTGGATTTCTGATCGACCCGAAAAATAACAACACCTGGTCAGGGAGTTGTCAGTAAAATTCCCATGAACTTAAGCTGAAATCCCTTTGACAGTATTTCAGCTTAAGTTAAAAATGTAAAATGTTAACGGATGACGCACGATGGACGATGCATAACGCATGACAACGGACGAAGACGGATAGCAATAGGTCACTTGAGCTAAAGCTCAGGTGACCTAAAAAAACGAAAATATAATTCCTACCGGCCATGTACAATTAGCCAGACCTATTGTCTTATAGTCTAGGTGTCAAATAGAAAATAAATACTGGGTTTGAAAATATTGATTCCACGAAATATAATCCCCACTAATTTGTCCCAAAACCAGAAAAGAAAAAAAAAAAATAACCCCAACGAAAATATATGCTTTTAAAGTACATCAATTACCTCCTTCAGGTCGTCTGTGCTGAGGTCGGCGAGACTATGGAGTTTACGGAGATGTTGATGTGTGTCATACACAGACATAAAGCGGCCTGCACACTGGCGAAGCTGGTACACGATGATCCCTAGGTTAGGTATGTGGGCTGGCATCATGGACGACAGTGAAAACTCTAAAGTATAACAACGAGGCGTCATGGACAGTGAAAACTCTAAAGTATAGCATTGAGGTGTCATGGACGACAGTGAAACCTCTAAAGTATAACAACGAGGTGTCATGGACGACAGTGAAAACTATAAAGAATAACATTGAGGTGTCATGGACAACAGTGAAAACTCTAAAGTATAACAACAAGGTGTCATGGATGACAGTGAAAACTCTAAAGTATAACAACGAGGCGTCATGGACCACAGTGAAAACTCTAAAGTATAACAACGAGGCGTCATGGACAGTGAAAACTCTAAAGTATAGCATTGAGGTATCATGGATGACAGTGAAACCTCCAAAGTATAACAACGAGGTGTCATGGACGACAGTGAAAACTATAAAGAATAACATTGAGGTGTCATGGATGACAGTGAAGCCTCCAAAGTATAACAACGAGGTGTCATGGACAACAGTGAAAACTCTAAAGTATAACAACAAGGTGTCATGGACGACAGTGAAAACCCTAAAGTATAACAACGAGGTGTCATGGACCACAGTGAAAACTCTAAAGTATAACAACGAGGTGTCATAGACAACAGTGCAAACTCTAAAGTATAACAACGAGGTGTCATGGACAACAGTGAAAACTCCAAAGTATAACATTGAGGTGTCATGGACGACAGTGAAACCTCTAAAGTATAGCATTGAGGTGTCATGGACGACAGTGAAAACTCTAAAGTATAACATTGAGGTGTCATGGACAACAGTGAAACCTCTAAAGTATAACAACAAGGTGTCATGGACGACAGTGAAAACTCTAAAGTATAACATTGAGGTGTCATGGACGACAGTGAAAACTCTGAAGTATAACAACGAGGTGTCATGGACGACAGTGAAAACTCTGAAGTATAACATTGAGGTGTCATGGACGACAGTGAAACCTCTAAGGTATGACAACAAGGTGTCATGGATGACAGTGAAAACTCTAAAGTATAACATTGAGGTGTCATGGACGACAATGAAACCTCTAAAGTATAACAACAAGGTGTCATGGACCAAATATCTCGGACCAAATATCACATGACAAAACTGGGAGGAATAACCTGAAAATATATGAATTAAAATAAACTATAAACTCAACACTAACAACATTTGTGACCATGACCTTTATACCAGGGAAGTATATGTAAAACTTGTGAAAGAGATCTTTGTACTTTCATTGTACACATTGGTGCTTAAAAAAAGTGATCCTTGAATATATTTTGGCTGTATTTACCTATCATATAGAGACCTGATATGTAATACTTGTAAAAAGTATACTTGTACTTCGGTTGATTAAACGGATCATATAGAGACTGATCCTTGTATTTTGGCTGTACAAACATGGCTTATATATATTGCATACATATGACACTAGTGACCATGACCTTTCCCTTACCAATTTCCAGTAGCTACTGCTAAAGAGAGTAGCTACTGCAGTCACACTGCAGCCACTACTGCATCACTACTTCTACTTTGCAGTAGGAATGCAGTGTGTCCAACAAAGCAGTAGGCATGTACTGCAATACTACTGCCCTATTCCTCTTCTGTTGCAGTAATCTACTGCAATACTACTGCACAAACTTAAAATAAAAGCCATTTACTACTGTAGTCTACTGCACAAACTTTATATACACCGACTTTCTTACAATAGTCTACTGCAATACTACTGTCAGGTCTTAGTATAAAACTCTCAAACTGCAGATGCTGGATACTACTGAAATAACACTGCAGACTTGGTTCTGTGAACATTCTCATTATAAATGACCATGGCCTCTGGGTCCATCTGACTACCATTGCAATCTCTAATTAAAAAATGTGAATTGGGGATTATGGTTTCAATAGATTGAAAATTGAATTTCTTAAGATTAAAATACAATTCAGCCTTTTCTGCAAATAGCTGAATTGGTTTAATTTATTTTTCAAAAGATTATATATTAAGACAATTTTTTGTTTCTTTGGCAGGTTTTCAAACTTAGAATTTTTTCAATAGCAGATTTTTTGGACTTAACATAAAATCAACATGCAGAATTTGTGTTTACTAAAAGTAATTGCATTAAGGTGCAGGATTAAAAATTGTAAGGTGAAAATTTTAATTTCAGAGATGTTCTTTTTTTATTTTAAAAAAGTTAAAAAAATATTTAGTTTGAAAAATATCTATGATCTTGATGGCTGTTTCCATAAACTACCAGGTACAGACATTGCATTTACCAAATCTTGAACCGTTTCTGAATTAGACAAATTACCTTTAAGAAAGCATACATGTACTTAATCAGATTTCAGTATGTTTTGTAGGAACTGATTTTGGTATTTTGCACCTCTCAGTCCAGCATTTTAAGTATTGTGTGAAAAAGAACCAATTTTTTTTATCATTGGTGCAAATATAATGCATTGGGAAACATATGAATGTGCTTATGTAATTTTAGANTACCAAAGACCCGAGACATGAAACAAAGAGAAAACGTATGTCTAGGAGCATAAACAAAAGACGTTGGACATAAACCAAAGACCCGAGACAAGAAACAAAGAAAAAACCTATGTCTTGGAGTATAAACCAAAGACATTTGACATTAACCAAAGACCCGAGACATGAAACGAAGACCCGAGACATAAAACAAAGAAAAAAAACTATGTCTAGGAGTATAAACCAAAGACGT